AAAATTAGTTCAAAAGAACTATTGCTAACGTATCTTAGCTAGAATGAACATTCAACCCAGTTTCCATCTTTTGTCCCGATATAATTATTAATAGTCTCCCTTTCATTCTCAGAATTGTCTTAGTGCCTGCAGTAAACTCTGTGGTTAAACTGATCTTAATGACTCTTTTCTAGGGCAGGCTTGCCTGAAGTTCTTTTAACTCTAGTACCATGAGTGACTCACAGTAGTTAAATAACCATTTGCTAAATGAATGAATGAAGGAACGAATGAACATACAATTTTGATGAGGCAATTTGAAGTTATTGGTAGCTTTGAGCATATTATGAACAGTGATAGAAGGGTGTGTGGAAGCTTAGTGTGAAATATTTTGGCACAAGGCTGCATGACTATCCCATCCTTGGGTCTCTGCTTACCCAAGTCTTGACAATAAGAATGGGTGTTGGGAGGTGGTGCATAGTCTTAAACAGGATTCCTATTAAATATACCCCCACACAGTCCACGCTCATTAAGAAATGTCTCCCCTCTGACCCCACAGAGCAGTAGAAAACATTGTTCAGGTAGTGCTATCAGCCCTATATTGATCAGTTTTACAGACACTTCTTGGGAGAATGTTGTCCATATTCTTTTCTTCTCATGGCAGAAGAGGCAGGAACAAAATCTTTTGCCTCTAGAATTATGCATCATGACCCATGGATTTGAGAATTAGAATGACTAAGAGTAGAACAACAAAGTTCTCTAAATCCAGTTTTGTATGTAAGGCATTATATCCAAAAAATAGTTTCTAGAAATTTCATTACAGAGCCCCTGCTCTTAAGTATAACTTCTTTTCTTGGGAGCAAAGATACTGGTTGTATTATTTCTTTACTCTTTTCCTGTATTGTCTCCACTTGCCTTTTGAGAACATCAGGTATTCAGATACTAAGAAATGAATAGCTTAACCTCAAAAAAATTCAAAAACTTATTTTTAATGTTATGATCACTGTCCCTGGGTTTGGAGGGAAAGGGTGTTTTAAATTACAAAGTTCAGTTCTTCTCATAAGTACTGTTTATTTAAAGACATGGTCACTTGTTCACCCATATATGGATAAAATGCATATATGCAAATGTCTCCATCTCTTCATGTGGCTTGTTTGATAGTAAAATCATGGATAATAACAGTGGATTCTTTTATAGGTGGAAGATGCTGTGCCTTCTCCCCTGATGGGAAAGCCTTAGCAGTTGGCTTGAATGATGGGAGTTTCCTGGTTGTAAATGCTGACACTGTTGAAGATATGGTATCCTTCCATCACAGAAAAGAAATGATCTCTGATATTAAGTTTTCAAAAGGTAAAGATGACAGCAAATTTAAAAGACTGTTTTGGGACAAAAAATTAAGAGTGAACTATTTAAATACTTCCTTGACCTTTTTCCTATTTTTCAAAATTGAATTCCTAGAATTAAATTCCTATATAAAATGTTTTGGTGTTAACTTCACATTTTTCTTTATAGATACAGGAAAATACCTTGCTGTGGCATCCCATGATAACTTTGTGGATATTTACAACGTGCTCACAAGCAAAAGGGTGGGCATCTGTAAAGGTGCTTCTAGTTATATTACACATATTGACTGGGACTCCAGAGGTAAAGTATGTTGTGGCTATTAAAATATAATTTTTGTTTTAAAAAAATGATGTCCATTCATGTATTGTTTCCAGAGAGAATGTCAGTAGAGTTTTAGGGGGGAGCCCACAACAACATAAATGACTGCAATTTTCTAACCAGAAAGCAGCTGCTGCTAGAATTTTGAGTACTTTTCCATCTTTTTATTATTATTACTATTATTAATTCAAGCCATTGAGTTTTAACAAAGTTGAAAATCTGTGATGCCGCCGTCACCACAGTAAACCACCACTCTGCCTTTGGGTCCACTATGCCGTGTCCCTGCCACCTTACTGCTCTCCCTGTCCCACTGATTCTCCACTCTGCCCAGATAACAGCCCACAAAGTTTCAAGCAGCTTCATCCTCCAGCAGAGGTAGAAAGCTGCATTCAGTTCATCTAAAGATTTCTGCTCTCCAGAACCGCCCAGCTTACCCACTACCCCCTCCAAGTGATGTCCACAGACTCCGTGGGCATTTGCCTTCTAATTTAACAAATCTAGCTTCTACCATGTGCAGTCTTAAACCAGACAGTGTGGAGGATCCAGAAGTAAGATAGAGTTCCTGTAGCTGTCCAGAGTTTATAAGCTCATGAGGGAAACATACTTGTACTTGAACGATACAAAAGCACAGATCGGATAAGGCAAGGGAGTCAGATGGTGAGTCATGGGCCGTGGTGAGCAGGGGCTCAGAGTGGGCCCAGTCAGCATTCAGCACCCAGGGGAAACATCAGCGCTATAGGGTGGGTCACTTTCAAATCCCATCCTGGGGACTTGGTTGATGTTAGAGTTTGGGGCAGGCATTTAATAATGGGCAGGGTCCCAGCTTTCAAAGAAATTTTCATCTGCTATGGTAGAAAATCACAAAGAAGAGTGTGTCTCTGAGGAAAGGGCTCCCAGGGGAATCCATGCAGCCCTATAGAAGGAATGTCCTTTGAGGGGGCTCTTGAAAGATGAGCAGAAATTCACCAGTTGGCAAAGTCTAGGCTGAGCATTCCAGGCTAACAAAAAACATGATGTACCAAGACATGGTGATGGGAAGAATGGGGCTATTGAGAAATAGCAGCACTGGGTGGCTGAGGGCACAAAGCCGGGAGAATGCAGAGTGGCAGACCAAGACAGAATGTAAAGGAGCTTTTATGTGACACTGGGGAGAGTGACACCGAGCTTTATCCTGTAGGTATTAGGTAACTCTAAGGGATTTAGAATGGGGCATTGCCTCCCAATCTGGGGAGGGTGAGCAAGCCTGGAATTGGAAGTTGTTGGATCGATAATGAAAAATAAAATAAACCAGGAGGAAGAGACAATGAGGGCCTCAACCAAAAAAAGTAATTTCAGAGATGCCAGAATATGCTAAATATTTACTGAAGTAGTGGCTGTGGACTGGTCCTTCTGGCAGGCCAGGTGTTCAGTTTTAGCTGTACTTGGTACACTGAAATTTGAACTTTATTTAAATTTTACAACCTGCAGGCATTTTGTACAGTGCAATCAATTGGAAGACAGCAAGAGGTGCAAGTTCCAACAAGGGCAAAGGGAGGTCAGATAAGTTCCTCTCATTTTAATGTCAGATCCATGCCAGACACAGCGCCCCGAGGGCTTAGGCTGGCCCCTGTGATCAGGTAGGACACTAGCTGCCTGTGAGCCATCTAGGAACCAGGGAGGCCAGGGGGTAATGGAAACAGCTGCTTCCCAGTCGTCGTCTTGATATTCTCTGCTTTATTGTTTGTAAAGAAAAAGGCTGTGATATTCCCCTATTTATTCTCTTGGTAACATCCTTAGATATGCATTCTTGGGAGAAAGATTTAGGTCAGGGCCAGCCTCATGCAAACGTCAAATAGAATATGGTGAGTTTTATTTGGAATCCAAGACACACACAATACCTGACACAACATGTGAAATCCCACCACACAAGGACCATTTGGGGGTCAAACCAAATCTTATTTTTATCTTAGAAAGTGAAGGGCCAAGAGAAAATGGGGCATAGAAAGAGTAAGTTTTGGTTGGGAAAATTTCTTCAAAATTATTTTTAGTCATGGTAAAATACACAGAAAATTTACCATCTTAACCATTTTTGTGTACAATTCAGTGGCATTAAGTACATTCACATTTTTCTGCAACCATCACTGCCACCCACCTCCACAAATCACCTGATAACACTGAAGCTCTGTATCCACTACACAGTAACTTCCCTTTTCCCCTTCTCCCAGCTGCTGGTAACTACCATTCTACCTTGTCTCTATAAATTTGGTTACTCTAGGTATTTCAAATAAGTGGGATCATACAGTATTTGTCTTTGTAAATGACTTACTTCACTTATTATGATGTTCTCCAGCATAACCCATGTGGTAGCATATGTTAGAATTCCCTTCCTTTTTCCGGCCGAAACAATGTCCCATTGTGTGTGTCACCTTTTATTTATCCATTCATCCCTGGTTGGACTCTTGGGTTGCTCCCACCTTTTGACTGTTTTGAATAATGCGGCTATAAACATGGGTGTGTATAAGTTTTGAAGACCTTGCTTTTAATTATTCTGGATATATTCCCAGAAGCACAATTGTTAAATCAAATGGTAGTTCTATTTTTTTAATATTCTGAAGACCTACCATACTGTCTTCCATTGCAGCTGTACCATTTTTATATTTCCACCAACAGTGTATAAGAGTTCCTATTTCTCCACATCTTTACTAACACCTGTTATTTTCTTATTTTTGTTTTTTTGATATAGCCATCCTAGTGGGTATGAGGTGGTATCTCACTGTGGTTTTTATTTGCATTTGGGTAGTTTTTTTTTTTCCATTCCACACATATATAGGCCCTGGATTGGATGCCAGGGATATAAAAAGGAGTAAGTCCCGATGGAAAGAACAAGGTCTTGGCCAGGATCAGTGAGTTGTTGCCGGGGAGGGACCTGGGTGAAGTTCTGTATAACGGCCCTCAGTGCAGAGCAACACTTTGCAGAGATAGAGGCAAACCTCACTGCTTCCATAATTCTGCCTTAAGCCAGCCTCTGTGACCCAACCAGCGTTCGGGATAATGGTAAAGACACTGGGAGAAAGGAGGCTGACATCTTTGCCAGTCCACCTCTCCTCATGTCTAGCAGTAGCCCCTTTGGTCAGATGAGAGGGTGAGACCAAACAGCTTCTATAGACTGGCAGAATAATAGAATACTTGTCATTTTTAGGAGGAAGTTAGACCATCTGGAGAATACAAGCCAATGTGCCGGTGTTTCACTCCAATTTCATTGTCGTGAGGCATGTGTCATAGTGATAATTTTGTGCTCCTGATATCCCAGTTCCCAAAATGCAAGCATGTGCCCTGCTCGCTCAGGAACAGCCTCACATTTTACAGCGGGTCCTTGGGGGTCTGGCAGGGGTAGAGGGCAGGATTTAGGAGCAAGGATCTGTTCATTCCTTTGATCTTGTCAGAAGCAGTGAATGTGTTCACTGGAGCGTCGCCAGAGCCCCAGGCTCACGGGGGTGGGGCACTGGCACAGCCCCAGCTTTGGCAGCCTCTCGTGTCCATGGTGACCATGGACCTAGGAAAAGTGAGAAGCCCATCAGGCTTCTGTAGGAAATCAGCTGCCCCTGAATGAAAGAAAAAAAACACATGGAGAGAGAGAAAACAGGGAAGGATATTTTCTAGCTGCTATTAGTTTATTTCCAGAAATATCTAGAAATATAGTTCTGTCTGTAAGATCTTTTCGCAATTTAAGGTTTGAGTAGGGCATCTCATTCCTATTTTCATTGCAAGTGGCCTGATATTCTTGGTACATTTAGTGCCACTTTTAGAATTGTTCTAAATTGTAGATATTACAGTAACTGGGATGATGTGTGTGAATGATTTTGTAGATTATAAAGCTCTATGCACCTGCAAGATGTGGGATTTACTATGCCTGCTGAGTAAAGAGGTCATCTGTCTCAATTCTCTTATTCTGTGTGAGTAGATATTTCTAGTGAATAAAATGTGAGGATTCTGGAAGAATAGGGATACTCTTATTCAGGGGCAATAATTCATGGCTTACATAGACTTTTGCTCTTTGTTTCTGTCCTCGGAATTATTTCAGTGGTTATACGACAGAGCAGCAGGCAGCATGGAAAAAAAGAGTGGCGACCTAAATATTTCCTCTCATGCTTTAATAAAAGTAACTATGGTAAAGAAATTTTTTTTGGGGGGGAAACACACCCATAATTCTACCTTTCTAACACAAAAATTTCTTCCCTTCCTTCATTGCAAGAAACAGAAGACCACTCAAACCTACTCAGCTTAAACTTAAATAGAATAAAGAATGAGTTTATTGGAAAGATAGAGGGACAGCTGATAGAATTCAAGAGCAGGAAGTAAAATGTCTCCTGAGGAACTGACTTTAGGAAGGACGAGGAAATGCCTAGAAACCAAGCAGGCAGTTCCTCTCTCCTCAGGTGGAGAGCCTGAGGCAGCTCGGTTCCGTGTCCACTGTTCTGCTAAGTGCAGTATCTGCTTTTGGCCCTTCTCTGTGCACAGGTAGACTTTCCTTAATTCATTTGGAGCTGGCCCACTCTTGGTTGCCCCAAAATACTATCCTCAGTCCTAAAGTCCGCACCTCATCCCAGTTAGGCACCCACTGATTCGGCCTCCCAGATTCCAGTTTCCCAGGAGAGAGAATTTGATTGTCCAGCCCAGTCTCCATCCTGGCCCCATCTAGGTCAATGTCCACCTTTAGAGTACAGACATGACCTCAGGGATCCAGCCCTCGGTGAGGGGCAGTGCTCAAGGAAGGGACATAGGCTAGGTAGGTACCCCACAGGTGCCTATGGTGTGCACAGCACTTCTCGTGTTTGTTCTGTTTATATTTTCTAATATTCTTGTAGGTATAAAGTATTTCTCTTAACTATTATACTTTTTTTTTTTT